TCAGTCCAAGACGAGGACTAAGTGTTCTTGATCGTTAGAATACATCAGGTTGAAGGTTTTCTTGTCGCCTGCTCGTTGCGCGGTAGAATAGCCAATCTGTTCTCATTTGCTCCGCAAAAGCCAAGCAGTGTGAACAACCTTAGCTTGCGGGACTTGTGGAAGAGTGATTTGGATCTGAAAGGGCGCAGGCACCCATGATCAAAATACACACGGCTGGGCAAGGAACGCCCACTTTTACCCAACCTTGCTGGCCCAACTCATTGCTTGCATTCGCCTGGGTTCAGATACGGGAGGTTGTCAAACTTCGCGGCTCTCTATGGTATCCTTCAAAGGGCAACACGAGGCACTGTCCAAAATCTGGCCATATTTTAGGCGTTGCCCCTATGCACGTATATGTTGGGACTTGTCCCGGAAATACACAGTTGCGTGAAGTGTGTATATATATATATATAATATATATCTCTATATACATAGTGAATTATTGGTATTATTAAATGCATCGACTTTGTAGACAATCGTACTAGTATATATCATGTGTGCTAGATACTTGCTAACACAACACCATCTTAAAAATGAACTTCTGTGCAGAAACATGCTTGATACCAAAAGTGTGCTCATTATCATGTTTAAAGTTCTTATCTAGTTCACTGTGTAATGCATATAGTTTAGGTTCACAGTTGCTCAAAACAATACAAGTATCATTACTATATTGCCATGTATTGAAGCAAGCTTAGCAGGGCAAACGTAAACGCTAGGGCGTTCGCAAAGTGTCTGTGGGACTGCTAGATTCCAACCGAAACCCATTTTAGTTTGTTGGAGCTCGATATTCTTGAGGTCTGGATGCAACCATCTCGCCAGCTCTCACTTGTGGCTCAGACTGCAAGTTCGGTGGCTTTGCAAAGAGGGGCCGGGTCCTAGGGTGAATACTCCTCTGCGAAAAGGACATGGGACCCAAAAGAGGATCCCCAGAAAAGAGCCTTCGTCGAACAATGATGGTTTTTTTCGGGTTGGATGTTGATCTGGGGGAGTACTCCTCGCAGTCAAGGATTCTCCACACGAGTTATTCACAAGTCACAAGAACCCGCCAGTTACTACAGCTACTTTGAAACCCCCTTCCCTTGGGACTGTACATCGCTCGTGCGCAACTTCGTGTGACCTGTGGAAAGGAGGTGCAAACAATCTATGATACCCTCCTGCCCTTTGTCGTTGTCGTGGGTGTCCCAGATTTGGCAAGGGGCCTGTCGCAGCAGGAACCCCTCTGCCATTACGGATTGACCGATTCTAATCCGCAGCGCCTGATCAATAAACCCTTTAGTGCTCAAGACTTTCAGGGAGGTCATGGTGGCCATCCTTTGATTTGGACAAGCCCAGGAGAAGCAATTAGACTTGGAGCTGCAAAAAGCTCACTTTGCGCTGCTTGAATGGGCAAATGAAGGAAAACCCAAAATACAGCAACTTGAAAAGAAAAGTTGGCATTCAGTAGTCTAGAGGCCTGAATTGACTGTAGTAGCCACATGCCAATTCCCCGGCAAACGAAGGTTCCTCTTGAAAAAGTGTCAACCTTGGTGCTTTTGCTCATTCATCACAAGGTCTCGACCTCCGCATGCGAAGGAACAAATGCAGTCAACGGCCCACAGGCTCCCGCCCTGTTCCCTGCACTCGCTCGCGCGGGCGCCCGCGCTCCAGCATTTGCCGTCTGGCCGTCAAACGGCCAGCCAGTCTCGAGAACGCTCGAGACTCTCTCTGAGCCATCGAAGCCGCCCGGGTCCCCAACATGGAAAATCCTCCCCCCCCCCAACAAAAAAATACGAAGCAGGGATGCTAAATTTACTGCTCGCAAAAGGTTCGGATTGGGACCATCCCGAAACCTATGCTAAGGGGGGTCCAACACGACAAAAATTGATATAGATCGATCCTTTTCAGCCATTAGGATGCCTTTTGGCCCGCCCTTGATGGCCCATGTACCAATGCATATGAATAGGGGCCTCTTCTAAGCGATCCTCATGGGCGATGAATGCAAACACTGCATCAACGATCGAAATAGCGCAAGTCGCAAATGCTGCAACGGAATTGCAAAACAAATGCTGGAAATCAAGCAAAATACATTCTGGCACTTTAGCTGAGTAGTCCATGACGAACATGATCCAAAATAGCGATGAAGAAGGCAAAACCGTTCTTAAGCACTTGCAACTGTCATACCAAAAGAGGCCAGGCACGCGCAAAACCGCCGGGACCTATCAAAAATCCTGGGTTTGATCTTGTGCTATTCAAGCTCGCGAAGCATTTATTTGATGCCACGCTTCTATTGCGAGTGCCAAAATAGGGGCCTCACTGTACGAGCAGGGTAGAAGTGCATGGCACTCTTCCTTCCCAAATTGGGTGAAACCCAAATGCTGAGGTTGGGCCATCTACTTTCGTCCAACTGATGTGAACGGCCAAAAACGGGGCAACAAACAAGAAAAGGAGAGCGCGATTTTTTTCGGGCGCAGCGGCTTTCTGGCTCTTTGGATCAAGTCCAAACTTCTGGGTTGCCACAATGGGCACCCCTCTTCACCGCAAGCTTCTGCGGGTTCTTGGAACGGGGATTGCCCGTACCCAGTGCCGAATGCCACGACTTTTCCGGGGGGCAGTCCTGAAAAGCACGGAAATGGGGCGGGCTTCACTTTCTGGGGGTAGCCCTTATTGGGGGTGGTCTTGTGGAGGAAAGTAAAAGGACACCCCTTCTCGGGGGTCCCAAACCCGATTTTGACAGACGTGAACACCGGATGAATGAAGCCTCTGGTTGAGGAAAAGCTGGGCCAGCCGTACTGCACATACTGCTTTCAATCGTCCCCTTAGTTTTGTTGGATGCGTGTCTTCGGAAAGCAAAAAAAGAAACTCAAGGCAAACAATGTGAGTACCGCCTTCAGGTCAGGAGCTCCAACTTGGGGCTTGGAGCCTCGACCCCCTTCACCAGAAAAAGAAAGAGGCCCTTTCCAGGCCGAAAGATGCAGGTAAACATGGAACCTGAAAATCATCCATAGAGGCAGCTTGGATGGAGGTGAGATGGATTCCAGGACCGGGCGTTGAACGCCGAATCGCCGCACGCGAACGAGCTCCACTTGCTCATGGTCGCATGAAAAGGGGATGCCCTTTCGCAGCAAGTTTCTTTCATCCCAAACATGGGCAACTGAAACCCACTGCCTTTCGGCTCTACCAAGATGGTTCTACTGGCATTTTTAGGCCTACTAGAATCCTTGTTGAACCAGTAGTCCAACCACCTATTGAAACTGCTCAGGACTTTGCGCTTCTCACATACATGGACTGGCCCCCCTGCCCTCGGTCGGGCCTACGTCACTGGCTCGTGAAAACCATAAAACGGGACTTCGGATTGAAGCCGAAGTTGCTCTCAAAGACCCGATCGGCGCTTCGAGGCCACCCGCTAAAAACACGCACATACTCATGGAAACTGCAATTGTCCACAGACCTGGCCAAATCACAACACTACACAAGGAGGATTCATCGGCAAAAGCACGGAGCAAGACGGGGGCCAACCCCTCCACAGTGCATACCTACGACCGCATCGATGCGGTAAGCTTTTCCGCGGATCCGCGGACCAAGGCCATTGTTTCGCTGAAGGCGACAGGGGTCCTTCGGATCCCCTTGAAGCCAAGTGGGCCAAAGTCCACGAGGAGACGAAGAAACAAAATAGAAGCCACCAACGGCTCACTCCCAGATCGGACGAGCTGTTCGAGGCCCAAACCGCCAGCTCGAGCGAGCCGACTTTAAAATCAAAAAAAAAAAACGCCTGGCCCATATCATATGGGGTATGGGTCAAAATTAAACCAGGGGACCGCAGATTTTAGTCTATGTTACCACTTACCAGGGTTCGATTTTGGGTACCTATTTTTGACCCACAGCCATGTGGGCCACAACCGTACAAGGTCAAGCTCCATGGGGTGTGCCAAGGCTTGTGGGATTCTTGCCTAAAGCTAGCTTCGGGACCTTGGAGACGAAGCAACCAGCCGCGGAGAGGGTGCAGCAAAAACGACACAAACCTGCATTTCGCGTTCGCGCTAAGCGCCCTGAATCCCGACAAATACGAACACCTTAAGGGTCTGCGGGAAACACCTATGGCTTTGTCTCACAATTAAGAACCCCCATGATTTGGGCTGTCCCCTTGAAACTAACAAAACATGACTTCAAACGAGGCACGTCCACAGGCTCAGCACAGCACCTGACCCGAGCACTTCTGACAAAGCACGTCGTTTGTTTCTTCAAATAGAACGGCGGATTGCCGACTCCTGACCAGTAGCGGGCGGCGACAGCAAAACTGTTCAAAAATCGTGTAGGACTTGTTGCGGGGACTGCTCAGGCGGTCCCAAGTGGTACCCGCAACTTTGATGCTCCGGGTGCCATCGCTCTACTCCACCGCCTAAGAACTATCTGTTAAGGGACCCTGCGCACGTGGTGTCTTATAGAACCAACGGGTCTGCCCGAATCATAAGAGACCCGAGGTTCCAAGTGGGGTACCCGTCAAGTCCCACAGGCCGCACCTGACGCATACGTCAAGGTTGGCGCCTTCTGACAGCATGCAGGGCAAAGAGGCATAGGCCAAGTCCTTCAAACGTATGATTATAGATATATATTCTTTAGCGGAGATTCTCCTTTTGGTTTCCCGGACAAACACAAACACATGTTTTTGTTTCCTCAAATACACAAGCCCATAGAAGTGCGTCTTTTGTTGACGGGTCGATCCAAAACACCCCCCACCCCCACCCCCACCCCCCACCCAAAAAAGTTGGGAACCGCTCGAAACGGGTGGCCACCCCCCTCACGGTAAGGAAGCATTCGCTAACTTCTGATTTTTTCGGCACAAACCTCAATTTCAGCTCTTGGGGAAAATCTACACGAATAGAGTGACAGCCTGTGGCAACTCTATCTTCCCAAAGGCAATGAGCCCAGCTGGTATATCGGAGCGAAACAAATGGGTTTGTTTTCCCAAGAACTGTGTTCCTTTGGTGTCCCCAATATCCTTGTCCCTTCGCCCAACACACGGACTCCACCAGGAGCGTGAAAAAGACAACAAGCATTCGAACCCTGCATGGGAGGGGTGTCGGCTGGAGAATGATTGTCCGTCCACCATCGAGGTCCTGAGTCCTTAGCTGACTTTCCCACCAACAGGGTGAACAACCCGAAGCCTCTGATGGTCAACCTCAAATTAGTGCCACTAGGTTCCAGAACACCCGCAAAAGCCCCTGGAACCTTCATGGGGGAGCCCCAGTCAACAAGTTTGATTTAGGGAAACTACGTGCGATTAAATCCTTCTTTTGTTGTGATCCGCGTTCAGCTGTGGCGGGATGGCTCGTGGCTCACTTATCAGGCTGGAGCCCGGGCAGGGGAGTGGCTTGGACTTCGTCTTGGACTAAGAGGGAGTGATGCTGTTCCGGGCCTTCTCGAAGCGGTCTGTGCCTTTAGCATTCCTACTGCCGCCGCGAAGGGTTGCTTGGGGAATGGTTTTGTTTTGTTGACTTTCGGTCTGGGGCCGCGTAACAATTCCTCTCTGCTTGTTGACCCGGAGACACCCACACAGCAGCCTCACCGAGCCATCTCCTCCATGAACCCCGACCTGCTGCGACGTCGAACACCAGCTATTTATTGTGGCTCTCCTTGCTTCTCTCTTAGCCAGCGGGGTTGTTGTTTCTCAAGGTGACCGCCAACAGCGCCGGGGCCATCCTGCGCGAGGCCTGCCTTGAGCAGTTGGCTCTCAAGCATCCGTCACGGGCTCCCGACCCTGTCACGCCTGCTACCTTTTTGGCCAAGGCCATCTCACTCCTCCCCCCCGCCTGAGTTGCCGTTGCGATCAACCCGTCCTGCCACGCTTCATATCTCTCCCGACACGTACCTGTTCTCCGTGTGGACGGGGCGAGGAGTAGCGCTTGATGGGTGCCACAGCTGGTGCCACGTGTGACTTTTTCTCGTTCGACGAAAACGGGTCGCGCGCCTGACGCCTGACCAGGTTCTTGCTGTTGTCGCTGGTCTCATCTATGCCTATAAACCTTTCCTCGATGTGGATCCAGAGGATGCGCACTATCCCGCACAATTATGTGGATTTGGCTGCACACCTTTTCCCCCTCTCCATGCTGGCGCCTGCCACGGGGACCTGGAACGACTGGACCTTGGCAGCTGGCACACTTCAGTGGACTTTGGCCGGCCCACTCCTTCGCAAACGTTGTCGACAGTGACCTTTGCCCTGTCCGAAAGGCAGTGAAGCACGGGGGCGAGTGGAGAAATCGGAGGTGCGACTTCACGCACGGACAGGGAGCGTCTGGGCGGCTAACCCGAGAAGAGTTGAGACTGCGTCATCTTTCTGCGGACCGACACGGAGTTCAATAGGAATCAACGTCAACGGAAGGGGAAAGTTCGTCGGCGGCATCCGTGTTACAGCAAGCGAACGATGCTCTTCAAGAAGGAGATGAGCGATGGTCAGCGAATTACAGAGAACCCCACGCAACGAAGAAGCTGCGCCGGGGGAAACAGGTTTCGGACCGGTGAACGGATCTTTGACTAAGAGGGTGCGGAGATCTTTCAGTTCTGGACGACCTGCTTGCGGGCCCCAACAAGAAGCTCAAGAAGCAAGGGGGTCTAGAAGAGAGACGAGAGGTCTGCGAAGAAGAGATTCAGGATGTGACGAAGGTCACGCTCACTGCATCTGAAATCCCACTGGTGGTGCCATCGGCTCCCGTGTAAGATAGGTCCATCCGGCACATCCGGGGAGTGGAGGGCTTGGCCTCCTGACCTCCCCCGTGACCGCGGCTGGTGCAACTACACCTCCGCCTGCTTGGTTGGGAAACTTCATCAGGAAAGGGTCGGAAGCTTTGGTCGCACATCCCCTCCCCACTATATGGGCGCTTGCCCTTTCGACCATTTGGGTCTCCTTCACCCAGACCCTCTCACACAGCTCCTGGCTCCTCAGTCCATGATCTTCATGAAGATCTCCAGGATGCCCTTCACGGACTGCAAAATGTGCCGTAGCCTTCCTGATCCATTTGTCCTTAACCCGGCATATCCGTGCCCAGGCCAGTCTCCTAGCCTCCTGCATCGAGGTTCTGCAAGCCACTCAGGTCCCTACCTCCCTCCAGCTCAGCATCTACAGGCCTGGCTTCATCAATTTGACCTCGATCTATTTCCCGGGTGCTCCTCCAAGAGCAGGTTCAGTCGCCCAGGCTCATAACCTACGTGTGAGTACATGACAGCGGCACAAATGTTCCGCACTCAGTGCTGCAAGGGCTAGGACGCTGGTTCTTGGGCCGGGTTCCTTACATCCCAAAACCCACCTCTGCATCCACAGCTGGTAAAAACCCAATCCTTTGAGGGACCCTGCATGCAAGTTGCAATCCGCGGAGTGCCTTCACCTCACGCCTGGCAACGGTCGAACTCTCGGCTCCGCATGGGACCCTGGACTCAACGTGCTCAAGCAACAGCTACCCATCGCTTCTGGACCAAAAGACCTCTGCATAGCTTTGGCCTCCCGATTTGGGCAAGCGCCATGTTTTCAAGAATGGCGTGGACAAGGGCCTTTTAAAGAGGACTGACGGAAAACATTTAAGAATGTACTATGGAACACTGAAGTGAGAATGGTTGACCTGGAAATCGGAAATAAAACAGTTACACTCCCAACACCGTGTGCTTTGTTCCTGGGTTTTTTCTCCTTTTTTTTCCGAATGTAAGTTCTGAAGTTTCAACAGTAGCCGATCCCAAATGAGGGATGTGGGTGTCGAATCTCCTCGTGTGTGCCCAAAATTACTTCATTTGCTGAAGTCCCCTGGAAAAAATACACATATGTCCAGTAGTGAGATCGACTCTCGGCAAATGGAAGCAGCGGGATACAGCCTTACAATCGTTGTCTAGAAATCCTTCTCCATTTCCATCGTGAAGAAGGGAATGCTGGTTTCGACTCTGTCTGCATCGCCCTTCATCCCAAAGCGAGGCACTTGGTTGCCTAAATTTGGTTGATTCAAACTGATGCAGAAAAAGGACCTGGGATGCTAATGCAAGCGGGGTCCTATGTGAGCCTTAAAAACCTGCGATTTTGGGCTCATCCGAATTCCTTACGAAACAACCTTGACCAAATTGGTGCCTGGAAAACCGTTTGGTACACTGCGTATACATCCGTGGGCCATGACAAGTGAAAAAACTGCTTCCTTGAGATGAATGACAGTCGTCATGGACCAAGGACAAAAAAGAGCAACAATCAATTTGCATCAGCCAATGGGTACAGTTAGCATTTGGAGATTTCAAGAGAAATGATTGGGGCAACTGGGAAAGCCATTTGTTAGCTGATTCCGCGCCGGGTTTGCCTTTGACATGGCGCAAAGCCAAACATTTGTCCAGGAACTTGAGAAAAATACATCTCCTGATGTGGAATTGAAAGGCTTGTAGGAACTGTCAGAAATCGCGGGCTGGTTTCTCATAGTTACGGCCACTCCATGTATCTGCCGCAATGCCCTCTTTACTTCTGGCTCAGCTGCAGAGTGCCCAGTGATTTGCATAACTAGTGACTTGTTTTAGTAACAACTAGTTCATGATAGGGGTTCATGTTTTTCTTTTTGCAGCAGATAGGTTGTTTGCCCAAAAAGATGGCCTGAAGACTTGGGCCGTTTTCACCACTCCAGACTTTGGGCCGTGGAGTGGGAGGATAGAGGTTGCATCTTGAGTTGCAAGCAAGGAAACAGTCATGAAACAGTCACTTCGCGAGTTTGTTTTTTCTTTTGCTGGGAGCGTTCAGCGGAAACCGGCCCAAAACAAAACTGAGGAGCCGCGGTGAGTACGTGCGTCACCAACTGACCCTCTTTACCCGGATCCATGTTTGTTTTTTGCTTTTCCCCGAGGATCGATCCGCAGGCCTGCGGGCTCATAGCTCACAGAGGTGAAGTCTGAAGGATCCTTCTGCAGCGCCTCGAGGAAATGCCTGGGAGAAGAGAAGAGCAGGGGATTGGTGGCTTTGGCTTGGCTTGGTGCCGGCTTTGCTTTGGTTTGGTTTGCGTTTGCGTTGACTCAGTGCCGCTGGGTTGCTTTCCCACGAGTTGGCTGGGTACCATCTGAGTTGGGGCCAACTTGCAAGGGGGAGCCAATGCAGCCGAAGAACTACTGGTGACTTTTGTTGTTCTGCCGGGGTTTTTCGAGGACTAAGGGCCATCTCTCTTACGGGTCGCCTCGCGAGTGGGCTCTGAATCAGAGTAGGGCCTACTGGGTACGGATGCCCGAAATAGTGCAAATGAACCCACCACAAAATCCCGATCGGCAAATTGCGGTCGATTACATATCCAAATGATTCCCCTTGCAAAAGAAGTATCCACCGTCCCCCCCCCCCCAACCGCCCCCCAAACCTAGAAAGTGTCTCTCCGGAAAAATCAAGAGCCGAGGAGTGACTAACGGTCAATTGCAGTGAGGGGGAGCTGAGGGGGACCAAGGGGGTTCAGCTGCCCAGCTCCTCTCTGTCAACCCATGCAAGAAACCCCCCGAAACAAAAGACAAGGGCCTGTGTTTTTCGGGGGTACCCTTCTCAGGGTGCATTTGGGGGACCTACTCTTCTGGCGCCGTTTTTCGGGGTAAAGCAAACAACACAACCAGCAAAAAATACAACTCGATCTTCCGCCTCGCGTAGCCGGCAATGTCTGAGGTCACCTCCATGTGTTTGAAGGCGAGGGAAACCACCGTCCTAACGAAAACACGCCGAGTCCCCCGCTGTTCGTCCGGGAAAAAATGATTCTTTACTAAAAAAAATGCAAGGCAAGGCGCAGTGGTCTTGGTGTTCGTGTTTGGTGTGCTTGTTGAGTGAGTTCGCTTGCTTTGGCTCCATGTTCATTGCTCGAATGTGGGTACGAATCTTAATAGGGGACACTTTCGGTGGGCATCACTTGGATTCATGTCCATCAGCCACTTTGGAGGTTCCGTGTGGGAAGCCATTTTCAGAATGACCCCGGATTCATTGCAATGGCTTCAGACAAATCGGGCACTCCAGTCTGAGTGGAGTCTTGGGTGTGGATCTCGAAACAAGAAATGAATGCCCAAGATCGTGAGCGTCCGTTTGTTTCCCCAAACCAAAGCTTCCACTCATGAACACACGAAACACCACCCATGGATGGGAAGCCGACCTTTTGCTACCAAATGGCTATGCAAGCCTGATACCAACCTGCGCCAAGAGAAGGCGCAGCGTGCTTCGACCCTCGACGGCCGGCGAAGTCCGAAGCGCCCCGGCGCGATCGGCCAACCCGTGAGTCCGAGGGTCTCGTGGTCCAGGCAAAGGAGAGTGCCGCCTGACGGAAGGAAAAACCCGGATTTGTTCAGGACTGCAGGGTCTAAATCATTAGACTTTCAAGGGGGCTTGGGGGGAGGGAGGGGAGAGGGAGGGAGCCCCAAAAGGCCGAAGGTTTGGTTAGAACGAATGACAGCCTCTCACACTTCTGTTTTCCTGTTAGGTTGAGGGCGATTAATGGGGCTGGAAAATGGCCCGCGCACTCACAAGCGTATGTGCGACATTGCGCAGCAAATTGTGACGGGCGCAAGGGGCTGAATAAGGGCTTATGTGGGCTGCTTGAAACCAGAAGCTGTGATCATAAGAGAATCAGATGTCAAGAATGCCCTTGACGGTGTGCTTCACACACGAAATGCCACAGCAAGGGGATAGGGTAACGGACAGGGGCTTTCCCGTAAAAGAAAGTAGTCTTCTGAACCCTCTTGTCAGCTTCCGTGATTGTTGCGGAAAGGGCGCATGAGTTGGTTGAACATCTACCAAGAGAAATCCGGGAGGCAAGAAAGCTGCGACACCACCCAAAAAAGTAACCCACTTCTTGTCTTAGCCACGGTCATTTCATGTCTTGCTGCCCGAAGAAGGCATGGCAAAATGAGTGAGTCCTCAGGAAAAGAATCCGAGAGGACAGGCCATCACACGTGTGGCAGGAGGACTGAACCATTCTATCCTTGCTCGAATCCGTTTTTGAGACTATTGCTACGGAGATGGGAGGGAGCCAAACCCTTAAAAACACGGCACCCTGAGCAAGCATTAGAAACCCAAAGGATCCCCCTAAGGAAGCTAAGGAACAAGGAACCCTTGACAACCAGTAAAAAAGGAATCCATGGAAACCCCAAGTTGAATGCAAAAGGAAACAGAAAAACCACAAGTTGAACACATCCCATTTTGGAAGCTATGAGCCCTTCACAGCAACGCGTCGAAACCTGTCGACCTGTCGATCCTGTCGCCTGCTGCGACGGCCTGGCCCTGGTACTGCCAAGGTGTCCACAAGCCTCAGCTTCCAAGGAGAGCGTGGAGGGAGGATCCAAAACGGTGCCATAGGTAGGGAATGACTCTTCCGGGTGTTGGGAATGAACCGTTTTGGGATTTCCTTAAAGGAAACCATTGGGGATGGTTTATAGGGGTCGTTCCCTCATTCCCTGCTGAGAACCAGCAAGTTTTCGTAAGACAATGAAGCAGCGACAACAAAACATGACTTTGGGTTCTACCAAGATGGTTGTGAGGGTCCATATAAGCCTCGCTATAATCCCTGGTAAGAAAATAGAACAGCTTACCGAAATGGGCCAAGGGTCTTGGGCGCTAAATCAAATTGCCCAAATCTTTCCCCAACCCTTACGGGTAGCTTCCCCAACCCATTTCTGGAACTCTCTGGGCCGAATCTTCTTGCGTCTATGCAACCTCCTCGATTGTGTTTGATGGGGGCGGAGTCTGCCAAGTAGCCCAGCATCAATGGCACTAGTTCCACACATACATTTCTTTTGAGGAGGGGGGTGGGGTTGTGAGCACCAATCCGTCAGCAAACCCAACCCAGTTTGCGCCCCGGTGGGGTTTGAACTGTTCAGTTCGAGTTCGAGTTCGAGTTTGGGAGGGTGGGGTTTCGGGTTCGAGTCCTGGTGGGGATTCCGGGCGGAGGGGGGGGGGGGCTCGTTCGAGTTCGAGTTCAAGTTCGGGCCGGGTGGGGGGCTTGAGTTCAAGTTCGAGTTTGAGTTCGAGTTCGGGTTTGAAGCGGGGCTTCTGCTTGCCGTTGGCAAGCATGTGAGCAGTGGTGAAGTGGTGAATGTGAGCGGTGAGGGTGCTCTCTAGAGCGGGTGCGCTTAGCATCTGGCAGGCGTGTGCGCAGTCGTGAGATTGCTCGTGAGCGGGTTTGCGTATCATGTTCTTTTGGCAGGCATGCATGCGCAGTGGTGAATGCGGTCTCTTGAGCGGGATTTGGCAAGCATGTGCTCAGTGGTGAGCAAGTTCCCTAGAGCGCACATACCATACTTACTATTTTGGGCAGGCATGTACGCAGTGGGGATGGTGCGCGTTCTTCCAGAGGTGATTTGCCAGACATGTGTGCAATGGTGAGGGTGTTCTCTTGAGCGGGTACGCATATCATTTGGCAGGCGTGGGCGCAGTGGCGTGTGTGAGTTCTCTTGAGCGGATGTGCTTATCATTTGGCAGGAATGTTTGCAGTGGCGAGTAAGTTCTGTTGAGTGGGTGTGTATCATTTGGCAGGCAGGTGCGAAGGGGCTCAGGTGTGAGCTCTTCCATTTGTCGGGCGTGTGTGTGTGTGTGTGCAGTCGTCAGTGTATTTCTTTGACCGGACTTCTTATTTGGCAGGCCTTTGTGCACTCGCGAGTGTGCACCCTTCAGCAGATACGCTTATCATTTGGCACGCGCGAGCGAATTGGTGAGTGTGTGCTCCTCAGCGGGTAGCAGGTGGCAAGCATGTGCGCAGTGGTGTGCCTGTGCGCAGTGGTGTGCCTGTGCGCAGTGGTGTGTGTGTGTGTGTGTGTGTGTGTGTGTGTGTGTGTGTGTGTGTGTGTGTGTGTGTGTGTGTGTGTGTGTGTGTGTGTGTGTGTGTGTGTGTGTGTGTGTGTGTGTGTGTGTGTGTGTGTGTGTGTGTGTGTGTGTGTGTGTGTGTGTGTGTGTGTGTGTGTGTGTGTGTGTGTGTGTGTGTGTGTGTGTGTGTGTGTGTGTGTGTGTGTGTGTGTGTGTGTGTGTGTGTGTGTGTGTGTGTGTGTGTGTGTGTGTGTGTGTGTGTGTGTGTGTGTGTGTGTGTGTGTGTGTGTGTGTGTGTGTGTGTGTGTGTGTGTGTGTGTGTGTGTGTGTGTGTGTGTGTGTGTGTGTGTGTGTGTGTGTGTGTGTGTGTGTGTGTGTGTGTGTGTGTGTGTGTGTGTGTGTGTGTGTGTGTGTGTGTGTGTGTGTGTGTGTGTGTGTGTGTGTGTGTGTGTGTGTGTGTGTGTGTGTGTGTGTGTGTGTGTGTGTGTGTGTGTGTGTGTGTGTGTGGTGTGTGTGTGTGTGTGTGTGTGTGTGTGTGTGTGTGTGTGTGTGTGTGTGTGTGTGTGTGTGTGTGTGTGTGTGTGTGTGTGTGTGTGTGTGTGTGTGTGTGTGTGTGTGTGTGTGTGTGTGTGTGTGTGTGTGTGTGTGTGTGTGTGTGTGTGTGTGTGTGTGTGTGTGTGTGTGTGTGTGTGTGTGTGTGTGTGTGTGTGTGTGTGTGTGTGTGTGTGTGTGTGTGTGTGTGTGTGTGTGTGTGTGTGTGTGTGTGTGTGTGTGTGTGTGTGTGTGTGTGTGTGTGTGTGTGTGTGTGTGTGTGTGGGTGTGTGTGTGTGTGTGTGTGTGTGTGTGTGTGTGTGTGTGTGTGTGTGTGTGTGTGTGTGTGTGTGTGTGTGTGTGAAGCGTCCTGGAGCACGGACGGAAATTCCACATTGCAGGGGGACTGGAGCCGATTTGCCTATCCAGTCCAATGAAGCTACGGCATTTCGGTGGATACCGGATCTGATCAATCCGGCGTACCTGCCTATTTCCTGACCCTCTTTCCTGATTCCTTTTGCGGTTTCTGTTTGTCGCTGTTGCTTCCTGTTCGGTGTCGATGTTGTGACCTGTTGATTTGCGTTTGCATTCAAGCATTTTTACTGACTGCGTTTTTCATCTCGGCTAGTGAAGCCTCTCGAGATAAGTGTGTTTACCCACGGCCTGTCCGACATGGCGCTGTGGGCTGGACTCGCCACATGCGGGAGCCCCCTGCGAGGGGAAGACCGTTCAAGTGTTCAAATTCAAGCTGCAGTTCAGTTCAGCGCGATTGACCACGATCAAGGCTGCAGCTTGAGGTCTTAAGGTATTCCGCACCCAAATGGTGCTCTGCTGGTTTCATGCGCGTTGCACTGCCTGCACTGCCTGCCTTTGAAGCAAGGCTGCACCCACGAGGTTTCAGGTTCCTAAGCTTCATGCGCCAGTGACGAGTTGGTCATACACCAACTCTGCGATTCGTGGCGTTTATGGAAGCTTTCGTCTCGGATGAGTTCAGTTCAGATTCATCGGCATAGCCACATGAGGCACTTTCATGAGGCCACTTGACAGGCACCTCTGAGAACCCCTTTGTGCTCGCATGCATTTCTGTGGAAACTTTTGCCGTTGCCGCGGGGTTTTGGCGGTCCCCTGGTGGAATTCCCTCTGTTTGGTTTCGATTCGCAGGTTGAAGTTGGCTCGCATGCATTTGCACCATTGACGCATTTTTGCCGCAGTTGTGGTTTTGTTTTCACCCCTTTCCAACCTTCTCTCTCCCTTGCGAGATGGCTGGACACCAGCTCTATGACATGATGCATTCGCTCCTGCATAGCATTGCGACCGGCACCGCGTCCGGCTCACCAGGCAATTGTGGACCGAACTTGCAGCTGTCATCCCAGATGACGCAGCCCATGAACCTTGTACCGTCACCCAACTCGCAGACGGCATCCTTCACACCTTTCCCCATGATGCCCTACGGCGGCCTCTCGAACTTTGGCAACCCGATGGCCATGATGCCCTACGGTGGCCCTCCCAATTACGGCAACTTGGCACCTGGCACCATCATGCCTTTCATGACTCAGAGCAGCATGCCATCTTCACCGCCCGAGCCTCAGCCGGCGCGCGCGCCCGAAGCTGCCGCTGCGGCTCCTGCCGCTACCTCCTCAACCAACCACCCTCCCCCGGACACTCGGCACCATCCCCACTCTCGCAGATCCCGTTCCCGCCACAGACAGCACCGACACTCCCACTCCCACACCAGCCACCATCGCAGGCACAACAAGTCGCACCGACGACACGACACCCGACGATCCCGCAGCTACAGCAGGTCACGTTCCCTTTCCCGACACTTCCACCACTCCCGACGTGCACACCACTCCACTGTCTCCCTCCGCTCCCGCTCCCCCCGACACAGGTCCCACCATCGACACTCCCCTGCACCCAGAGCCACGACTTCGCACCGACCCACTCACACTACTCATGATTCCACCTCCTGGCGCACTTCCGGGAAGGATTCCAACAAGTCTCAATGGTCCTCCTCACACTGGCGGAACCAATCGTGGGGATACCCACCACAGAACAAAAACCGCTGGGACATGCACCACCATGGCGCCAGCCACACCGGCCACCGAAACAACCAGGACAAACGATCGTCCTGGTCACTGCAGCACCATGGGCAGCAACCCCACCCCACTTCCCGCACCGGCCACCACAACACTAGCTTGCCCCCTCACCCAGCACCTGCGGCGGCCTTCACTTCCACTCCCCCTCCCCCTCCCCGACCCACGCCGGCTACTCCTCACCCTCCCCAACCCCCCTTCGACAACACCGGTGATTTGGATCCCCCTCCATCGGAGGCGGACATCAATGCCACCACCACTTCCGACAACCGGTGGCTTGATCTATGGAGAAACGTCATGGACACGGCCAAGACTGACCCGCTGCGAGTTCCCACGCCTAGGGAGTTGGGGGAGCTGGACCCGCTTCCAGCCTTGGACATCTCCAGGGTGGAACAGACTAAGGCCATTTTGATGGACCTGGACCCTGCTTTGCCACCTTCACATGCCGATCTCCTCGCGGAATGCTGGGAACTGCGAACCATGGACACGGATGATCCCATACCGTTCGATCCCAGCTTCTACCACCTCTTGGGACGGGAATCACACGGCATGGTGTTCGCAACCACTTGGTTTCCCCGACCTCATCCTTGGCCAGTTGCTGGCGGAGACCCGGAAGCTGGATCCGGCACGGCCTCCCATCACGCTGTCATGTATGTGCACGGCACCACCCCGGATCGAGTGCGCCGCATGTGCCATGAGAACATGATCCGACCCGCTGCTTGGAGGCCCGAGAACCATGACTACCCGAGCTTTGGATGCTACGCTCAGGCCACCCCCACGGCATGCACGCCCGACACGCTCGGCCAGCTCTTGCAGAACTTTACAATCGGAAAGTCTCAACTCGGCGCCATCGCTTTTGGGGAACTACGCTCCATCAATCAGCA